AGCTGCGGCGACGGCGGCTGCGGAGGCGGTGGAGGAGGAGACACCGGGGGAGGGACAGATGGCGAGGACTGCGCCAAAGGACTACCAGAGTCAGAAGACCCGTCGACCGGAACGACCGACGGGAGGGGGGTGACGTGAGACACACCAGAGGGGGCCGGACGGGGGGGCGGGGGGGGGGAGGGGGGGGCCACCAGGGAGGGAGGAACCAGGAACAGGGGGGGAGTAACCGGGGGACCACGGTGGGGAAAGCGGCGGAAGAAGGAGACGGACTCGTCAAAGGTGACGTCGCGAGAGTGAAAGAAACGGTGAGACGGCGGGTGGTAGAAGTGCCAGTCGGACGCGTCAAGGGGGAAACCGAGGAAGACGCAGGGGAGGGTGCGGGCAGTGAGCTTGTCCGTGCCAGAGGCACGAACGTGAGCAAGGCAGCCCCAGACGTGGAACGCAGACGCGTCACCAGGGGACCCGGTCCACAGAAGGGTCGGCGAAACCTGCGGCCGCTGGGGGTGCGGCCACAGGTTAAGCTGGTGAGCGGCGTAGCGCACGGCGAACGGCCACAGAAAATGGGGTGCACCGGCGTGGATCATGGAGGTGCGAGCCACCTCCATGACCAAACCGATGCGTCGCTCAGCGACCCCATTCTGCTGCGGGGAGTCCGGCAGGGTAAACGTCTGGGTGATGCCCTCCGCACGACAGCAGCGACCAAGGACACCTGAGGCGAACTCGCCACCCCGGTCGGAGTGGAGGCGCAAGGCAGGGAGACCGCGGTGGAGACGAGCAGAGACAAGCCAGGGGATGAGAACGTCAGGCACGTCGGCCTTCCGCTACAGGGGAAAGACGGTGGTGTAACGTGTGAAGTCGTCGACAAGCACTAGGAAGAAGCGCTCGCGATGCGGCCCATGGACCGGGGCTGGGCCCCAGACGTCCATGTGCAGAGTCTGCAGGGGTGCGGTGGTAGGGGGAAAAGAGGAGGAGTGAGGGGCACGGCGGAGCCGGCCCTCGACACAAGGCGTGCACGGTGGGGCGGGGGATGAGGGAAACTCAGGGAACGAACCGGGGAGACCAAGGACGAGACCGTGCTGGGACATGTGACGCAGACGCGGGAGTGCAGGGTGACCAAGGCGGTGGTGCCAAAGGAGAGTCGGATTAGTGAGGGACCGACAGGAGCACGCAGCAGCAACCTGGGTGGACGCAGCTACCTGAGGGGAAGACCCAGCCGGGGACGTCGCGGTGTCAAGTGTGAACAGGCCGGACACCGGGTCCCGGGGGAAAGTGGTAAGGGGGGCACCAGTGGCGGCCTCGGTACAGACAGCATACCGCTCGTGACCAGGGAACGTAGTGGTGATGCCAAGGTCCTGGAGGCAGCCGACACCAACTAGGTTCCTGGAGAACGAGGGGATATGCAGACCGGTGAGCGAACCTGAAGGAACCGCCGGACAGGGAAGGGAGGTGGAACTGCGGGCAAAGACGGGACCACCGGAGGGGTCAGCAAGAGTAACTGCAGCAGGAACAGGCAGCGGCGTCAGCGTCGTGGAGTCGCGGAAGAAACACCGGGAGGCGCCAGAGTCCAAGGTGAAGGAAAGCGCAGCAGTCGCGCGGGGCGACAGTGAAGCGGTGGAAGCACCGAGGCTAAGCAAAGCAGGAGATCCTACGCCTGACGCAGCAGGGGAGTCTACGCTAGGCACAGCTACACTAGGCAACACGGGGTAATAAGAGGGAAGCACACTAGAGTCATCAGCATACATCACATGCAAGGCTGCGACAATGGCATCCATGTCCAAGTCAAAAATCCGAATGCTACGCCTAAGCAAGCTGTGCCAGTCCGGGAGGTCGGGCGCCGGGCCAAAGCGCTGGCGGAACAGGTCGTCCAGACGACGAAAACAGCGAGGAGTGGAATGACCGATCTTACCGCAAACGAAGCCGCGGCGAGGACCGGTCTGGATCTGGTACTGACAGGGCCCGCCTCCAGAACCACCACCCGGTGCACCACCACGCGCACGACCACCACCAGCTCCAGGCCACCCAGGCGGGAGAGCACTCGCCGGCCTCGTTTGCGGCGGCTGCTGCGGCTGCTGCGGAGGCTGCTGCTGCTGCGGCTGCTGCAACGGTGGAGGCAGCGGGGCAGCAGGACCGGGCAGGGTCCCCACGTCCGCACCGGCACCGGACGACCCGCCTCCACCACTACCCCCACCCGCACCCCCGCCACCTCCGCCGCTCCCAACCTTGGGGCGGCGGCCCTTCCCCGAGCGGGACTGCACTGCAGCAGCAGTCTCAGCCACAGCGACAGAGCCGTCGGAGAAGGTACACTGAGCGGGGGCACAACCCTGAAAGATAGGGACCGGTACTGTACCGCTCGCCTGGGCTATGGAGCGGTGACGAGTCTCTATGGCAGTCAGGGTGTCAACAAAGTCGGTGAGGGTGAGGGCAGCAGGGTGGATGCTAAGGAACTGGTCGCGGGCGGCGGCAAGGCGGTCAGGGAGGCGGGTGGCAAGGAGGTAGAGGGTAGAGGTCATGGGAGGCTGGTGGACTCTAAGCTGTGCATCAGTGCAGGCAGCGCGCCAGGCCTCATCTATCGAGCGCAGGTGGGCAACGAGGTCAGAGACAGTGGGGAAGGACGCAAGGTCAGGAAAGAGCAGGGGGAGGATCAGGCGACCCACTGAGGCAGCAGGAGGGGTAGAATAGCGCTTGATGACAGCATCGAGGTAGGCCTGGGCGGTAGTAATGGTCCTAAAGCGAGGGCGCTCAAGGGGGGGGAGGGCATTGCTAATGGCGAGCTGAGCAAGGGCATCGCGGGAAAGCCAGACAGAGCGGGCAAGGGCAGCGGCGGCAGTGGACTCGCGCTCTGCGGGCGTGGGATCAGCAGGCAGCACGGCAGGGGGGGTCAGGGCAGGGGAGCATACCGTCTAGGTGTGCAGAAAGCGGGTGGCCGTCCTGCCGCTGACCAGTGAGGTGGCGGCGAAGGTCAGCCAACCACGCCTCGAACTCCAGAGGCTGACCCTCAGCATCAAAACGAAGCTCAGCAGCCATGAGGGGCAGTGGAGGACAGTGGAGTGCGGTGTAGTGCTGTGCAGTGCGGTGCAGGGCGGTGCAGTGCAGTCCAGTGCGGTGCAGTGCGATGCAGTGCGGTGCAGTGCGGTTCAGTGCGGTTCAGTGAGGTGCAATGCGGTGCAAGGCGGGGCAGGAAAGTGCAGGAGGGTGCAAAGTGGTGCGGGGAACGGGGGACAGTACCAGGAAGTATGGAGGGCCGGGGCAGGCGGGACGGGGCCGGGCAGGCGCGACGGGGCCGGGCATGCACGTCGAGGCTGGGCAGGCGCGACGGGGCCGGGCAGGCGCGACGAGGGGCCGGGCGGCTGCGACGGGGCCGGGCGGCAGCGACGAGGCCGGGCGGCTGCGACGGGGCCGGGCGGCTGCGACGGGGCCGGGCGGCTGCGACGGGGCCGGGCGGCTGCGACGGGGCCGGGCGGCAGCGACAAGGCCGGGCGGCAGCTACGAGGCCGGGCGGCAGCGACAGGGCCGGGCGGCAGCTACGAGGCCGGGCGGCAGCGACAGGGCCGGGCGGCAGCGACGGGGCCGGGCAGGACACAGCAGGGCCGGGCGGGGGCGACGGGGCCGGGCGGGCGCGACGGGGCCGGGCAGGTGCGACAGGGGCCGGGCAGCTGCGACAGGGGCAGGGCGGGCGCCACGGGGCCGAGAGGCCGCGACAGGGCCGAGCTGGGGCGACGGGGCCGAGCAGGGGCGACGGGGCCGAGCAGGGGCGACGGGGCCCAGGAGGGTGGATACGGGGCCCAGGGAGGAGCGCGGCAGGGCCCAGGAGGGGCGCAACAGGCCCAGGAGGGGCGCTACGGGCCCAGGAGGGGCGCAATGGGGGCCCAGGAGGGGCGCGGCGGGGCCCAGGAGGGGCGCAATGGGGGCCCAGGAGGGGCGCTACGGGCCCAGGAGGGGCACTACGGGCCTAGGAGGGGCGCGACGGGGCCTGGGAGGGGCACGACGGGGCCCAGGAGGGGCGCTACAGGGCCCAGGGAGGGCGCGACGGGTCCCAGTAGGGGCGCTACGGAGCCCAGGAGGGGCGCGACGGGGCCTGGGAGGGGCGTTACGAAGCCCAGGAGGGGCGCTACGAAGCCCAGGAGGGGCGCGACGAGGCCCAGGAGGGGCGCTACGGGGCGCTACGGGGCCTGTGAGGAGCGCGACGGGGCCCAGGAGGGGCGCTAAGGGGCGCGACGGGGCCCTGGAGGGGCGCTACGGGGCCCAGGAGGGGCGCGAAGGGGCGCGACGGGGCCCTGGAGGGGCGCTACGGGGCCCAGGAGGGGCGCTAGGGGGCGCGACGGGGCCCTGGAGGGGCGCTACAGAGCCCTGGAGGGGCGCGACGGGGGCCTGGAGGGGCGTTACGAAGCCCTGGAAGGGGGGCGCGACGGGGCCTGGAGGGGCGCTACGAGGCCCTGGAAGGGGCGCGACGGGGCTAGGGGGAGGGGTCGCGACTGGGCTCAGGAGGGGCGAGGCGAGGCTAGGAGACGCGACGGGAGGAGCGGAAGCGGTAGGTGGGGGGGGGGGGGGGGGGGGGGTTGGTCGAAACCTACTCGTGATACCATATCAAACCTAGAATTGAATAATGTGAGAGAGAGAGTACACAAACATATACCTAAATGTTGTACTCTCTAGAAGGTGACCCTATACAGTCTATACAAACATGATAACTACACATGTTTGACAAGGCGGGCACGCGATGGGGCCGGCGGGGTACGCGAGGGGCAGGCGGGCACGCGAGGGGCCGGTGGCGTGCGCAAGGGCCCGGTGAGGCGCTAGGGGCCGGCGGGGTGCGCAAGGGCCTGGTGAGGCGCTAGGGGCCGGCGGGGCGCTAGGGGGCCGGTGGGGCGCTAGGGGGCCGGTGGGGCGCTAGGGGCCGGCGGTAAGGCTAGGGTACGACGGGACGGTAGGCTAGGGCTAGGGGCGGAAGCGGGTGGGCGGACCTGACCTACCATGATACCATGTTAGAATAGCAGAATGACTAGAAATGACGGATACAGAGGAACATATGGTTGGGTATTGTACTCTCTAAGAGCACGGGCCCTTCTAGCCTATAACTATACATATGCAAATATATAGAAGTTGACAGGTATGCCACAACGGCTGTGCAGGCTCCAGCAGTGACCTTCACAAGCAATGCTCTGCTACATTGTGATCCCCCACCCAAACAACCACCCACTAGACCCCACACCTTAACTCTTTCTCTGCTGCTGCTGCTGCTGCTGCTGCTGCTGCTGCTGCATCAATCAAGCGCTACTTTCTCCTCCTCTACTGCATTCTTCGATCTACATCCTACCCCCTACCATCCAACCAGCCTTCTTCATCCGAGAACCCTGTATCGACCACCACTTCCAGAGGGCTAGCCAACCCCCCTCTTCCCCAAACCCAGCTTCGTTGCATCTCAAACCCCCTTCCACCAACGCCCTCCCCCAGATCTCTTCCTCCTATCATGCCACGCCCACTCCCACGCTCCCCCATTCCTACCACAACCCCCGCCCGCGCATAACTGACTGCCCCCTTGCTCATCCCCCTCCCGTTCCTCCCTCTCACAACCCTCTCCTCCTAAGAGCTCCCCAACCTCCTCTCGCCCCCTCGTTTCCCCTCTCTCCGCTGTTCCGTCCCCTCTCGCCCGCCCTGCCAACGCCCCCCCCTCTCTCCAGCCCGCAAGCCGTTGCAAGCCGCCTCCAAGCACTAACACACCGCCCTCCTCAACCCCCCTTTCTGGAGCGGCCTCCCAAGGAAGTAACCTTCTCTTCCCCCTCAGCATCCCCCTCAGCATCCTCCTCAGCTTCCCCCTCAGCTTCCCCCTCAGCTTCCCCCTCAGCTTCCCCCTCAGCTTCCCCCTCAGCGTCCCCCTCAGCGTCCCCCTCAGCGTCCCCCTCAGCTTCCCCCTCAGCTTCCCCCTCAGCTTCCCCCTCAGCTTCCCCCTCAGCTTCCCCCTCAGCTTCCCCCTCAGCTTCCCCCTCTCAGCGCCCGGCTGCGCGCAGCTCTGTCAGCACTGAGCGCAGTGTGATCAGTCCTTGAGCATCTTGCGGATGGCCTTGCCCCACACGCGCATAGCCACCAGCGCTGCCACGGACAGCACGCCCGCCAGGCCCGCCAGGACCATCTCCGCGCGCCCGTCGCGCTCGCTCTCGAACCGCACGCGCAGCCGGATCACCGCGCACCCCTCCGCGCGCCCGATGAGGAAGATCCCGCCGCGGTCGAGCCACCCGCTGGGCGGCTTGAGCTCCGCGCGGTGGAATCCGCACACGTCCACCGACACGCGCGCCTCCACGCGCACCACGCCCACGTCCGTGTCGCATCTCCCCACGTCGCGCCACGCCGAGTCCCAGAAATCCAGGACCTCTCGAACCACTCCGCTTCCTCCCGCCGCCGACCCGCCGAGCGAAAGGCCCGTTGCACCGCGCGCGCCGCCAGCGCCGCTGATGCCGCCGCCGCCGGCGCCGCTGCTGCTGGCGACGAGGCGCGCGAGAACGGCGTCGCCTCCTAAGGCGTCCGGATTAGGCACTTTAATCTTCTTCTCGACGGCTATCGGGAGGCTCGTTTCAACTATCTGTTCCGAGCGCGCTAGCGGTACGAGGTCCTCCAGCGCGATACGGCGCGTTCCGAGACCGTACGGGAGATGAAACGATCCCTCGACCTGGTGGAAGTTGTACGGCAGGCGCGCGGAGAGACCTGAGAGGTCGACGATGACGTCAGACGGATTGTCCTGAGATAAGCGCGCGTGCCAGCTAACCGCGTTACCCATGTTGTGCCCTCGATCTCGAAGAAATTGCCGTTGACGAGCAGCCTACGACCGGTAATGGCGCCGGCTGTGACGGCCGCTGAGATGGCGAGGGAACGGCGCGATGCGAGTGTCGCAAGGATGGGGCCGGCTGGTAGGGGAGCGGACGGCGAGGCGCAGGAGGGGCGCCCACTGATTGGTTGGGATGCAATGGGGGTCCACGGAATGTGGGATGTGTGTGGATGGGGTGGGGAGAGGTGCAATGTGCAGGGAGGGGGAGAGGGTGGGTAGGAGATTAGGATTCAAGGAGAGAGTGATACAAACGAGAGAAAGTCCTCCTTTAGGAGTACTCTGATTTCCTTATACAGGTGTACTCTGTTAGACTCTGGTTGGTATATACGTTAGATTAGGAAGAAGCGAAATATACCTACTTAGCACATAACAGAGTATAAGAATGTATGGTAGCGTGTTCTCAAGTTTCGATCCGGTGTGTGTATCCCCCGCACTCTACAATGACGATGTGTTTAATACTGAGACAGTGGGAAGTATTTGCGCGAACACGACTCCCCTGCTTTGCGATCTGGTTACCAGAAGTCGACAAGTTCGAAAATGCTGCGCTGCGTGAGCTCGGATGGCACTGGGTTTTGGGGGAATGGCAGCAGTTTCGTTTCTTCTCCCCATCCCCCAAACCCATGCCGCACACTCACATTTCTCCTTAGCCTAACTGCTGCCACGCTTCTCACCGCCCTTCTCGTCTCGGGCTCCATTTTCCGTCTCCACGCCTCGTTCTTAGGTGCTGCGCGACTAATCTCCACGCACTTGACCGAGGGGCAGGCAGGCGGGGCAACTTATCACTTACCAGCTCTCGCGGCGATCGGCATCATCTCACAGCAGTCGCCCGCGATGGATGCCCTCAGCGCGCCGTTCGTGGTAAGCAGCCGCCGCCGCCGCCGCCGTCATCGTCGCTACAACGTTAATTGAATAACCGACGAGTGTCTTATCAGTGGACTTGGAAATCTCAACTTTCGGTAGCGAGTTCTGCACCCGTTGCTAGCGCCGCTCATCGCGTGTCAAGGAAATGCCGTTCCGTCGAGGTGGTTATTGGGTCGAGTTAGAAGTCACCGCCGTCGATTAGCTTTCCAGTTGCTATTAAGTAGATTCACCGCCAGACAGACGGTGGAAGGTATGGGCGGGAACGTTGAGCATTTCCCGCCAGGGCTTTGCGCAGGGCTTCTTTTAGACGCAGGCGCGGTTGAGGGGTTTCTCAAGCTTAAACCCTTCTGGAAGTCGACCAGGGCTTAACCATTTCTAGGCGTTTGGAACAAAGGCGAATCATTGCCAGGTTTTATGCGTCTGTTTGCGTTGCCTTGGCTTGACTCCGGTCGTCCGCCCGAGTTATGGAACAGTAAGGCGGCACGAGACTGTTTACACCATAACGGCTGATATCCGCGCGTTTAGGATATCCGTACGTTCCTTTTCGCGCTTTTCGTTTCCTCGTCTTAGCCACGTTTGCAGTGCACTCTGCGTACGCCCACTAACGGATTCGCTTGCGTCGTTGCGTGTTTTCCCCATCACCGCCCTCGTCAGCCCCTCGAAGCCGCGCCGGACGGGCGGAAGGGGAAGGGCAAGAAGCGCCGGGAGGAGGCGGAAACCCCCAGCGCCGCAGGCGACGCCGAGGCAAAGCGCGCCAAGCAGGCGGACGCGGAGCAGCAGAGCGCCGGGGACGGGGGGGGAGAAGCGCCGCAGGCCGAGGGGGAGGCGGAAGGGCAGGCGCAGGCGCAGGGAGTGCAGTTCGTCGGGTTGCGGAGCGTGCGGAGAAGCAAGGAGCAGCAGAAGGGGCGTGAGCGGGAGAAGCGGGAGCGGTACGCTGGCGCGGGGGCGAAGGGGGGCGGGGGGGTGGCGGTGAAGCAGCAGCGGCGGAGGAAGGTGGCGCAGTCGTCCGTGGTGTACCTGGGGCGCCTGCCGCACGGGTTCTACGAAGACGAACTCCACGGTACGCGCGATCATAGGGGCGACTGACAAGTGGTTGGCTGCCACCCACATATGGCTAAACCCTCTAAGTGTTGTTCCCGCGCCTGCCGCACGGGCAATACGAGGACGGAGTCCAAGGTACGCGCGATGTTTGAGTCAGACTCAGGAATGACCCGCTGCCACGTATGGGCTACTAAACCCGATGAGTGATATTTTCCCGCCTGCCGCACGGGTTCTACGAGGACGAGCTCCACGGTTCGCGCGCGGGGGAAGAGGCGGGCTGTCGGGTTAAAGGGTTCAAGACGGGAGGGGAGATTTATCCACCGGGTTTAAGCGGCTCAACGAGGGTTCTGAGGATTGGGGAGGAAAGGGAATGGGGGGGGGGGGGGGGGGGTGCAAGGGAGATTTGCGGCGATAGAGTGTTATGATCGCCAGCTGGAAAGAGAAGGTTGTTGCGCGGAACGAGTCGCCACTTTGAGAGTCGGCACGTTTACAAGAACGAGCTGCGAGTACGGGAGAGAACGGGGTGTAAGCACGTTTCACGCAGGAGGATCGCGCGGTTGTGAGGACTTGCTGGCGTGGACGATGCCTGAGAGGGTGGCTGAGAGCATGGCCGTTCGATACCTCCATGTAGCAGAGCGGGGCACACCAGCACTGCCGCATGTCGCCTCGTCTGCATCCCTCATCCGTGCCCCCCTTTTCTCGTCTGTCATCCTTTCCTCCCCCCCACCCACCCTCTTCTCTTCCGTCTGTCATGCGCGCCCCCCTGCTCGCGTTCCCCTTATTCCCTTCCGCCCACCTGTCCGTGTTCCCCTCATCCCCGTCCGCCCATCTCTCCGCGTTCCCCCCATGCCCGTCCGCCCCCTCTGCGCGCGCAGGCTTCCTGAGCCAGTTCGGGGAGATCGAGCAGCTGAGGGTCGTGCGCAACCCCAAGGTGCGCGCGGGGGGAGAGGAGATGGGGAGTGTATTTATGGGGGAATGGGGGAACAGAACGGGGAACGAGTGGTAGCGGCGGGCTTAGGCGTAACTTAAAAGAGAATCGAGAGATTAGGGAGGGGAGGGAGGGGAGAGAAGGGGAAGCTGAGATGAGGTGTGGAGGAAGGAAGCATCGATTTTCGTTACTCTTCTGAGTTGCTGCTCTCTGGTTATGGTGATCACTGTGGAGTAATACCCGTTCCTCTCACCTTCCATAAGAATATGATCTAATTAGCTGCTCCCCCCCTTCTCTCCCCAGTTCAACTCCCTCCTCTCGCTTCCCGCTCTGTTTCCCCCCCCCCCCCCCCCCCCCCCCCACCTCCCGCCTCCGGCCTCTCCTCCCTTTCCCCCCTCTCCCCCATCTCCCTCCACCCCGTTCTCCCCCTGTCCCCTCTTCTCTCCCCCCCCCTCCCCGGCGTGCGTGCGTGCGCGTGCGCGGTGGTGTGTGTATCGTCTTCGGGGAGCAGACAGGGAGGTCGCGCCACTATGGCTACGCCAAGTTCGCCTCGCCGGAGGTGCGTCAGGGGTGGGTGGGTGGGCAGGTGCATGCGGGGTGTGCAAGTGCGTGCTGGTTTGTTAAGGACGGGTGGGTGGGGAGAGAGGGGGAGGGGAGGGTGGGGGGGGTATGTGGAGGTGGCGGTGGCGATGGTGGCGGAGCGGAGTGTATGCATGCATGCATGGATGGATGGCCAGCCGTTGTTGACGCTCTCCTTGCAAGAGGTTCCTGACTGAGACCTCGCAGTAGGCGGCTCACTCAAGAGCCCCTGCGTGGCCACTCACCCCCCTGCTTCCCTTGGCTGCTGGTGCAGGTGGCGGCGATAGTGCCGGACTGCATGAACAACTGCCTGCTGCTCGCCTCTGCGGTGCCTCAAAAAGCCTCAGCAGCAACCCCCCGCCCCCCTGCCCCCCTCTCCCGCGCCACCCATTCACCCCATGCGGTGGCCTCTGGTGCAGGTGGTGGCGATATTAGCGGAGTTCACGAACAACTACCTGCTGTTTAAAGGCCTCAAAAGCAACCAACCTTCTCTCCCCTTTCTCCCCCCCCCCACACACACATTCATCCCCTGCGGTGGGCGGTGGTGCAGGTGGCGGCGATAGTAGCGGAGTGCATGAACAACTACCTGCTGTTCGGGCACCTGCTGAAGACGCACCTTGTGGACCCCGCCATGGCTGACCGCGACCAGCTGTGAGTCCTTGCCGCTGCTACTCACAGCAACTCGAGTGCCGCTGTGTGAGGGATGTAGGTGGCATGGGGAGGGGTGTGGGTGGCATGGGGAGGAGGGGTGTGGGTGGCATGGGGAGGGGTGTGGGTACATGCAGTCGCTGTGCAACAGATGGGCTATTAATAGGTACTGACATCAGGGGGCACATGGGCGTGAGGTATAGTACAGGTCATTTACTGCTCCTTCTCACCTGCTGCTCCCATTCACCTGGCCCTCTTTTCATGCACCCGGCACCCATGCGCTGCCTGTGCCTTCCCCCGCGTGCCTCTCATCCCCCCGCCCCTCGCAGGTTCTACACCCCCCACAAGAACCCTCCTGAAATCTCTCAGCCAAAGCCAGTAAGAGCCTGTTGCATCCCCCACTGCAATTGTTCCTGCCCTTTACCCTCTGTCCCCACCCAAAACCCAAGTTACTTCCTGGGCCGCCAAGTCAGAATGTTTCCCTGCATGTATGCTGCCGGTAGCATGCTGCTGCACCCATGCTGCTGCACCCATGCTGCTGCATCCATGCTGCTGCATCTGTGCTGCTGCATCCGTGCTGCTGCATCCGTGCTGCTGCATCCGTGCTGCTGCATCCGTGCTGCTGCATCCGTGCTGCTGCATCCGTGCTGCTGCATCCGTGCTGCTGCATCCGTGCTGCTGCATCCGTGCTGCTGCATCTGTGCTGCTGCATCCGTGCTGCTGCATCCGTGCTGCTGCATCCGTGCTGCTGCATCCGTGCTGCTGCATCCGTGGTGCTGCAACCAGTGCTTTGCTTTCATACGAGTCCTCGCTTCCATCTCTTCCACCTCTTCCATCTCTCTCTTCTTCTTTGTGATGGCATGGCATGGCATGCTCACTGCACGTGCAGGTGGCGACATGGGGCGACTACAGGGAGCAGACGTCCAAGCAGTCCAAGAAGCTCAACGCCACCATGAAGCGCCTCAAGGCAGCTGGCATCGACTATGAGTTCCAACCCAAGGTGCGTTGCAACCCAAGGTTCAGAGCACAGTGAGTAGTTGAGAATGGTATGTGCATGGTGCTCCCTCACCTGCATTTCCGTGTCCTTTCTCCCTTTTCACCCTCTCCCTCCATGCCTCACTCCCTGCTTCCTTTCCTTCTCCTTCCCCACCCCCACCCCCTCCCCCTCCCCCCTCCCCCACTCCGCGGTGCTGCATGCAGCCCAAGGCAGAGAGGCCGGATCAGGGCCTGCACCAGCGGTTCAACGAGGCTGGGGAGGCCACCCCAGCAGCTGCAGCACCCAAGGCACAGGGGGCGAAGCAAGGGGCAACGCAGAAGGGTGATAAGAAGGTGGCAAAGAAGGAGAAGAAGCAGAAGGAGAAAAAGGAGGAGAAGGAGGGCAAAGAGGAAGAGGAAGGGAAGAAGAAAGCGGGAGATGGAGAGGCAGGGAAGCAAGCGCAGGAGGGCAAGGATGGGAAAGAAGTGCAAGTAGAGGCGGCTGGAGGGGAGGGGAAGGAAGGGACGACTGGGGTTGCGATTGAGTCTGCAGGAAACGATGGGGTGAAGAAGGGAGATGAAGACGTGGTGGCACGCGCCAAGGCTGTGGCTGAGAGGCTGAAGCAGGAAGCGGACAAATTTGCAGAAATGTTGGGGAAAGGTGCGGTGGATGCTGAGGAGGATGGTGGGGCGAGAGAGGGTGGGGAGGGTGAGGACGAGGAAAGCGAGGAAGATAAAGAGCGCGAGAAAATTCAGGAAGAGCCATGGAGTGATGAGCATGAGGAGGAGGAGGAGCTGTTGCATGAAGAGCAGGATGTGGAGGAGGAAGAGGATGAGAGTGAGGGTAGCGAAGGGGGTGGTAATGAGGACTAAAGATTGTTGCTTTTAAAAAGGGGAGGTAAGGGTTGTGTCTTTGATTTCTTGTTCAGCTATAGTACCATTTTTCTTCCTTAAGATGGCAGACACGCTTACACTTATGCTTGGTGGAAGACAATGAAAGTCATAGAAGTGACTTGGTTCAAAATAACATGAGATACATGTCAAGGCCTCAGATAGGATTTTGGGCATCTTGACCAATCAGGGCTGGCCTCCAAAAAACTGTGTAGCACTCAGGGTTGGTTGCCTATGTTCATACTGATTCCTCAGGGTGGTTCCTCATGTCAAATATATGTATAACTCATATTTGTATAGACTGTATAGGGTCACCTCTTAGAGGGTACAACACTCTTAGGTATATACCCTTGTTCTCTCTCTCTCTATCATATCACTTGTTCAGTTTTTCTTCTAGACATGGTATCACCCGTAGGTTCGACCCCCCCCCCCCCCCCACCTACCGCTTCCGCCCGTGCCTCCTAGACCCCGTCGCGCTTTCACCTAGGCCCCGTCGCGCCGCCCCCACCTAGGCCCTGTTGCGCCCCTAACGTGCCTCCTAGCCCGTCGCGCCCCTCTTGGGCCCCTGCCGCGCCTCCTAGGCCCTGTCGCGCCCCTCCTGGGCCCCTATCGCGCCTCCTAGCCCGTCACGCCCCTCTCGGGCCCCTGCCGCGCCACCTAGGCCCCGTCGCGCGTTCCCCTAGGCCCCGTCGCGCCGCCCCTACCTAGGCCCCGTCGCGCCCCTCCTGGGCCCCTGCCGCGCCTCCTAGGCCCTGTCGCGCCCCTCCTGGGCCCCTATCGCGCCTCCTAGCCCGTCACGCCCCTCCTGGGCCCCTCTCGCGCCTCCTAGCCCGTCGCGCCCCTCCTGGGCCCCTGCCGCGCCTCCTAGGCCCTGTCGCGCCCCTCCTGGGCCCCCGTCGCGCCTCCTAACCTGTCGCACCCCTCCTGGGCCCCTGTCGTGCCCCCTAGCCCGTCGCGCCCCTCTTGGGCCCCTACCGCGCCTCCTAGCCCGTCGTGCCCCTCCTGGGCCCTTCGTGCCTCCTGGGCCCCATCGCCCCTCTCCTGGGCCCCATGTGCCTCCTAGCCCGTCGCGCCCCTCCTGGGCCCCTGTAGCGCTTCCTAGCCCGTCGCGCCCCTCCTGGGCCTCTGTCGCGCCTCCTGGCCCGTCGCGCCCCTCCTGGGCCCCTCGTGCCTCCTAGCACCCGCCGTCCTGGCCCCACCGCGCTACCTGGCCCCGTCGCGCCTGCCTGGCCCTGCCGCGCCTCCTGGCCCCGTCGCGTCTGCCTGGCCCCGCCGCGCCTGCCTGGCCCCGCCGCGCCTGCCTGGCCCTGCCGCGCCTCCTGGCCCCGCCGCGCCTGCCTCGCCCTGCCGCGCCTCCTGGCCCCGCCGCCCCTGCCTGGCCCGTCGCGCCTTGCCTGGCCCCAGCCGCGCCTGCCTGGCCCCGCCGCCCCTGCCTGGCCCCCCCGCGCCTGCCTGGCCCCGCCGCGCCTGCTTGGCCCCGCCGCGCCTGCCTGGCCCCACCAGCACCTGCTTGGCCCCACCGCACCTGCCTGGCCCCTTCGCCCCGGCTCGTCCTGTCGTACCGCCTCGGGCTCCGTCTCCTCTGCTCGCCCGTGGTGAGGCGCTTCGCGACCGCTGTGCTGGAGGGGGCTGTCGCTGTGTTCCTGCGTCGCTGCGTTCCTGTGGAGCTGTGCTGCTGACCCTGCACGATGGCGGACTTCGTGCTCCAACAGGACGCCGAGGGCCATGCGGTTGACTTCGCCGCCTGGCTCTCCGATCTCCGCAGCCACCTTACAGGTCAGCGCCAGGATGGCCACTCTTTGGTTGTCCATGTCGACGGCTTGCTCCCCCGCCCCCCCGCACCTGCTCCCCTCCCTACTGATCCCTCCTCTGATGACCGTGAGACCTTCTCGACTGCTGCGCTTGCCCGTGCGGTCTGGGACTCCCGCGATGCAGTCGCTCAGGTTGCCATTAGCCACGCCCTCCCTGTCTCTGAGTGCTCGCGTTTTGCTACTATTGAGACGGCCAAAGCTTACTTAGACGCTGTTATTGCCCGCTATTCCACACCCGCGTCTGCTTCTGCTGGTCGCCTGCTCTTCCCTATGCTTTTCCCAGACCTTGTAGCTTTCCCTACCGTCGCAGACTTTGCCACTCACCTGCGTGCCCTAGAGACTCGCTATCGCACTGCCAGCACTGCTGCCCAGCTCACTGCTCTCCCCCCCCCATTCTGCATGACCCTCTATTTTATCGCCATGCACCTGCCGGACCGCATAGCTAGTGCTCGCGATCACTTCATTAGCCTGCACCCGGCTGACCTCACTCTCACTGCCTTTGTCGACACCCTCACCGAGATCGAGACTCGCCAGCGCACTATCGCTCAGTCGAGCGGTGCGCCGGCAGTCTCTATCTTTCACGGCTGTGCCCCCTCCCAGTGCACGTTCACTGTCGTTTCGGCTGCGGTCGCCACGGCGACCCCTCTCACCGAGACGGCTGCTGCGGTCCACCCGCAGCAGCGCTCGCGCCGCGGTGGCCGTGGTCGCCAGGGTGGTAGGGGTGGTGGCGCAGGTAGTGGTGTTGGTGGTCGTGAGAGTAGTCCGTCTGGGGGGACTAGCGTTGGTGGTCAGGAGCAGCAGCCCCAGCCGCAGCAGGAGTAGCCCGCGCCGCAGCCGCCGTCCCAGCCGCAGCCCCCGCAGCAGTGGGCTCACCTCCCGCCTGGTTGGCCCGGCACCTCCGGAGGTGGTGGCAGTTGTGGCGGCCCGCGTAGCTTGGCGTCTACCGGCGGCTCCGGTGCTGTCACCTGCCAGTACCAGCTTCAGACCGGGCCCCTTCGCGGAACTCTGTGCCGCCGTCCGCACCCGACTGCCCGCTGTTTCCGCCGCCTCGACGATCTGTTTCGTCGTCGCTTTGGCCCGGCCCCGGACCTCCCTGACTGGCACAGCCTGCTCCGCTAGGGCGTGCCGATCTTTGAGTTAGACATGGATCAGATAGGTGCTGCTTTGCATGCCTTGTATTCTGATGCTGCTAGTGTTGCTGGATCTTATTACCCTGTGTTCTCTAGTTTAGGTGTTGCACCGTTGTGTAGCCTAGCCTCCCCTGCTGCGTCAGGCGTAGGACTGCCTAGTTTGTCTAGCCTCGTCTCTGCACAGGCTCCGTTCCCTGCCCCCGCCACTGCGGCGCTGTCCTTCACTCTCGACTCCGGTGCTTCTGCCTGCTTCTTCCGCAACCGTTCTGCGCTCACGCCGCTTGCTACGCCAGTTGTCGTCTCTCTCGCTGACCCCTCTGCGGGTCCTGTCGTCGCTCGCAGCTCTACGTCCCTTCCCTGCCCAGCAGTTCTCTGGGGCTCCCTTTCAGGCCTCCACGTTCCCTCGTTCTCGCAGAACCTGGTTTGTGTCGGCTGTCTCCAGGACCTCGGCGTCACCACCACGTTCCCCGAGCACGAGCGGTTCGCTGTCTGTTCTGAGGCTGTCTCAGGTTCCCCCCTTGCGACGTTCCCCCGGGACCCGGTGTCCGGTCTGTTTACCCTAGACACCGCTTCCCCTCCGGTTGGTGCGTCCTCCCAGGTTGCTGCAGCTTGCTCGTGTCGTTCCCTCACTCACCCGTCCCTTCTCTGGCACCACCGCTTAGGTCACCCTGCTCTCCCTCGTCTGCGTCACATGTTCCAGCACGGCCTTGTCTTAGGTCTCCCTGCATCACTCCCCGCCCTTCCTCCCTCGACTGCGCCACCGTGCACGCCTTGCGTCGAGGGCCGACTTCGCCGTGCCCCATACTCCTCCTCGCTGCGCCCGGCTACTGCCCCCCTTCAGACCCTGCACCTGGACGTTTGGGGCCCTGCCCCCGTCCCCGGACCGCGAGGTGAGCGTTACTTCCTTGTGCTCGTCGACGACTATACGCGCTACACCACGGTGTTTCCCCTGGAGCGGAAGGCCGACGTGCCCGACGTTCTTCTCCCGTGGGTTGTGGCTGCGCGTCTCCACCGCGGTCTCCCCGTGTTGTGTCTCCACTCCGACCGTGGCGGCGAGTTCGCCTCTGGTCGGCTTGGACAGTTCTGTCGTGCGGAGGGCATCACCCAGTCGTACACCTTGCCGGACTCGCCACAGCAGAATGGGGTTGCTGAGCGCCGCATCGGCTTGGTCATGGAGGTCGCCCGTACCTCCATGATCCATGCCGATGCCCCCCATTTTCTGTGGCCGTTCGCTGTTCGCTACACTGCTCACCAGCTTAACCTGTGGCCACGCTCCCAGCGGCCGCAGGTTTCGCCGACCCTCCTTTGGACCGGGTCCCCCGGTGACGCGTCTGCGTTCCACTTCTGGGGCTGCCTTGCTCACGTTCGTGCCTCTGGCACGGACAAGCTCACTGCCCGCACTGTCCCCTGTGTCTTCCTAGGTTTCCCCCTTGACTCGTCTGACTGGCTTTTCTACCACCCGCCGTCTCACCGCTTCCTCCACTCTCGTGACGTCACCTTTGACGAGTCGGTCTCCTTCTACCGCCGCTTCCATCACTGAGGTCTCCCAGTTGCCCCCCCCCTGTTCCTTGCTCCCTCTCCCCCAGTAGCCCCTGCCCCTCTCCCGCCTCGTCCTGCCCCGTCTGGTGTCTCTCACGTCACTCCCCTCCCGTCGGTTGTCCCCGTTGAGGAGTCTGCTGACTCTGGTGGTACCCCCGGTCTGTCCTTGCCGCGTCCCCCTTCCCCGGTGCCTCCGCCCCCACTGTCGCAGTCGCCGACCCCACTGCAGCCGCCGCTACCGTCGCCGCCGCAGCCGTCGCCGCTGTTGCCGCCGCCGCAGCCGTCGCCGCCGCAGTCGTCGCTGCCACTGCCGCTGCCGCTCTTGGCCCCTGGGGGTGCTGGTGTGGAGGAGGGTGTTCGTCCTGCGGCGTCTGGGGGTGCCGCTGGTGTTGGAGGGGGTTCTCGCTCTGGGGGTGTTGGCTCTAGGGGTGCTGCTGTTGAGAAATCTGCCGACGGTCGTTCTGCCTCTCCTGGTCCGAGGGTTCCGGCCCAGCCGTCATCGCCGCCGCAGCAGCCGTCGCCGCCGGTCTCCGCTCTCCGCCTGCTCGGCCTTCCCTCCCCGGACCGTGCGACGGTGTCTCCCCCACCGCCTGCTGACCTTCCTGTCTACGGTCCTGTGTTCCC